AGCGTTTTTTTTTTGCGTTTTTTTCACTGCTCGGATCAGGCTGCAACACGTGCCTGCCATGTGCTTCTTTTTCTTCTCTCTGTCTCTCTCTCTCTCTCTCATTTTTGCGCCAACTTTTCTTTTGCAAACTCGATTTGTATCCTATTGCACGATATCCGGTTTGCACCGCAACTGGATCCTGTCGTTTCCGAATAAATTTAAACGCCCTTTTTTTCTTCACAAATCGCTTAACCCATAGTTATATTTATTAAATTTTCCTGCATACCTGAACGTGTTAATGAAGCGAAACGAAAAAGTGTGTAACAGAGGTGGCAATTGCAGTCGACGGGTAGTCTTTTTTCCGTGGTCAGTGTGCGAAAGGACCGGTCTTCAGGAACGTAGTTAAACGATTGACGAGCTTTTGGAAAATAAATTATGTCTATTATTGATCCCGAGTGTGCCTTTTTTATTCTTTGAAAAGAAAACTGGTTTTGTTAAAAGAAATATTATTTTTTCTGCGAAACTAGCTATTAGATTCCCATTGTCAGAAGTTTCCTTCCAAATAACGTGAAAAATTCGAATTGAACATTAATTTTTCATAAATTTTTTCTAAGAAGTGATTTTCGGAAATTGAATGCTAAGAAAAATATAAGTAATGTTCGTTGAAGTTCATAAATTCGTTGAAAAAAAAAAAAATAGAAAATGTGAAAAATTGAATAAATTTCACATAAATTCACATAAAGAAGATACGGACATTTTAACAAAATAATAAAAAATAAATTCAAGAAAAATGAGAAACCGAGGAACGAGCGATGAATTAAATACGAGTCACGCTCTTACTTGTCTCAAAGTATGTATATGTACACAAACGTGTCTTTTGTCTCTTTTATTAGTATTGTTTTTTTTTTTTTTTTTATTACGTGTACGTCGGAATTGGAGCAGACGCGTGTGCCTTTCCAGATAGCCCACGCGACACCGAGTGGCCCTGCAATCGGTAGGGGTGGGACATAACCAGAGCTCGTGCCGGAACGCACGTTCGTATCACACCACCACTACTGGTTATCTCGTAATTACAAGAGACTCTTTAAACCAGACGCGTCTGTCGCGGCACGGTGGCACGAGCATTCAAGCGATAAGATCTTACCTCTATACATCTCGAAACACGCTTTCATCTAATCGCTATTATTGATATAGGACGATGTAAATAATAGGGGAAAATTTTTTTTCTACGAAAAAAAAACGATTTCTCAGGGTTATTGAAAAATTTCATTTTCTGATAATAATTAAAATTATATTATTAATTTGACTTTTTCAATTTCCTAAATTTTGTAAGAATCATATAAAATAGAAAAATGATGAAATTTTCTCGGTTGTGCCGATGATAAGGTATACTAATTTAAGTGGAAAACGGTTGAAATTTGTATAATAATGCCGAGAGAAAATAAAGAAAAAAATATATACATATATGAATGTGTGTATGTTTTTCGGTTGAATAATTTACAATCTTGTATTAGCGTGAAAAGCCACTATGGGCTCGATATGGAATGTAGTGTCATAATGATTAGAGAGAGAGAGATATATACATAGAAGAGCCACGTTTCCGAACTTTGTTAATTCAGCAGCGTCTTTATCCGTTAAAGTATTTATATTCGATAATAACAGAGTAGGAGTTTAGACATAGCCAGCGGATCCTTTGTTAGTTACCAAATTGTTAGAACAAGTTAAATATGAAATGTCGGCAAAATCACAATTAAGTAGGTAAACAGGACAGTCGTTCGATTGGCTATCCAGAAATATTTGCGCAGTGGAAAAACCAGTTGACGAGGGTGAGGGTTGGAAATCCGTACAGCAACAAGAATACAGACTTGACTCTGCAATTCTATCGGTGACGCCTACTCGTCGCCGACACACTAATGACTAAGGAAATCCTCGAAATCTTTGTTCTTTTGGGAAAGAGCTTTGTTAATACCTGCATGAAATACCACGTCCGTTATAATAAAAATAAAATACAGTATTATTGCTACGAAATGAAAATCTATAAAATGATTCGTCTTCATGCGTTCATACATTTTCAATCGTGATGTCTGTGTCAAGCTAGATAATTAATGCCTAATTTTCTTTATTTACAAGTCTTTATTTATGACTTATTACGAAGTCTTTATTTACAAATTCATTTACAATGTATAAATAATAAAAATATATGCATTTACAATGTATAAATGATAAAATATATGCATTTTTTAAAAATTCTATAATTAAATTCTTTTTAAATAAGTGTGTGTGTGTGTGTGTGTGTGTGTGTGTATGTTTATATGTAAAAAGAATTTAATTAGAAAATTACAAAAAAAAATGTATATACAGGATATAAAAAGTATCGGGACGACGAAATATTTCGAAAACTAAACATTTTAGAAAAAAGTGTTTCAGATAAAAGTTATAGGATTTCAAAAGATATCTATTTACTGACGTTATGAGTTAACCTTGAGTGGCGTTATCAAGATCAGGACAATAGTATATGAAAGAAAAATCATATTTTTTCTATTTTACTTTTCGTTCTCGGAGAACGAACCAACTTTAAAAATTAAAAAATTAATAATCCATATTGTTTTATGTTATCATCGAAAGTATCTCGACTTTATTTAGAACGGCGTTTAGAAAAAAATTTTTTATTTTAGCATAAAATTAAAATAGTTGCATATTAAAGAAGATCAAAACAGGAAGTATGATTGTGTTTTTAATGGCACGTTTCAGGGACTAATGTACAATTATGATTCTACAGACGACACTTTTTATGTCGAGCGTTCCATAACTAAAAATTTAAATCTCTCTGTTTTATTTCCCTATTCCTAAAAAGTTACTAAAATTACTAAAAAGTAATTTTTCTTTTCTGTGTACATAAATTGTAGTAATTCCAAGCAAAATTACAACACTTTTATCATTCTTAAATATATTTGAAATCCAGTGTGCCTATTGAGATCTTGATCGGTTTAGCTATTATTGAAATTAAATAATCTCGGTTGTTAAACAACTCATTGGCATAAAGATACACCAGCCGATCTCGCGCGAACGCGTATACTTGGCGATCGTATTTTCTGATTTGCAATTTAAGAAGTTGAAATTTCAAGATCTGCTGACGTAGATTCAAATATCACTGTTATTCAACAGTGACTCACAGAAATTATTTACTTGATTTTTTCAGACGCATGTTCCCGACCATACAAGCAAACGTAAGCGGTTTGCGAGAGTATGAGAAATATTGTGTTCTTCTGGAGATTGTCAAGGTATCTGATCGTCGGTATAAGTATTGTGGATATGAAAACAGCGGGAATAAGAACGGCAATGTAAGTGGTTGGAGTTTTGCCGGGCCGGCAGAGCCGCAGCATCCTTTCCATCGTCGAATTTACGTGCATCCCGAGAGTCCTTCGACGGGTGAGCACTGGATGAACAATTCGATAAGTTTCAGCAAACTCAAATTGACGAACAACATCAACGACAATAACAGCAATGTAAGTAATATTTGACTAACTAAATTATACAAACATACACATGGCTTTTAGATACAAAATTGCATCAGTAAGTCTAATTAGTAAATTAATCTATTAGTCTTTGTTGTATTTAGAGTCATTTCACATTTTATTTTTAACATGTCTAGTTGTAACATTTATTTTCATGGAATATTTTTTTTATATCTAAATTTTTAATTTCTAATTTTAAATAATTAACGAATATAATTCATTTTATTTTTGTTTTTATTTTTAATATATTTTTAATTGAATGTTATATGGCGTAAGAGAAAATTACATCAACGTCTTTCTATAAAATCTTTTTTATAAAATAATGGATAAAGATACATAAAGGACAAAATAATTTTCTACAAAGAATAGAAATTCTATTTCTAAGTCTATTTCTAACGAAACAATAGAAACCATTATTTATCTGATCTTTCAATGTGACCTTTTCACAATCGTACATCTTTCAAAAAAGTTTATTCTTCCATATTTATCTTTGTTTTCGAGTTTCTTCTTATATTTGTCGTGTATGCTGAAAGTCGTCATATTATCCTTTTAATCTAATTCATAATTTTTGTTAAGCATTAAAAAGACATATTCGAATAAATTCGAATAAATTCGTAAAATACGAATTATTTCAAATGAATATTAAAAAAGATTTCTCATAATTTTTTCTTTTGCCTTTCCTTTTTTATGTTTTTTATTTACACTTTTTTTTATTTTTTCATTTTTAGATAACTGTAAGATAAATAGCTAGATAAAATGTGATAGATAAATCTCTTACATTGTAGAATAATCAGTGCAAGAAAATACATTTCCTTTTTTAAAGAAAAATTAATAAATCGATAAATCTCTCCTATTTCTAATAAACAAATATTTTACAATGGTTGCGACTAGTAGCCATTAACAGGGAAAATAATCGTTTCTTCGGATGACCGTAGTAGTGAACGTCAAGATGCATTCGTGAAATATTTTCAAATTGTCTTGTGATGTTTTCGTGGAAAACCTGAACTACAAACTCTCATTTGAAATTTGCTCGCATAGCGAAAGCG